GAGAGAGAGAGAGAGGAGCTCTTCGACTCTTGAGGCAAATAAACATGTCTTGCAGATTCACTTTTCAGATTAGTTGCAGCTAGAGAGAGAGTGGGGGACTGAACATTTATTGTTTGTTTGTGTAGGCTGCAGTGGCACAAGCGACCTTGGCATATAAATTGTATCAAGAGAAATTTTCGGGGCCACGATGGGAGTCATTAGTTAAGAAAGGCGCAAAGAAGCAGAGGTTGCTTTGGGCCTCGACAAGTGTGAAAAACCCAGCATACCCAGACACGCTCTATGTCAACCCTCTAATTGGCCCTGATACCGTGAGTTTCATTTCCCGTAGGGGTGGCAATGGACCTGACCAGACCCGAACCCGACGGGTAGACCCCGACGGGTAGACCCGACCTCGGGTCTGGGTATGCGTCCAACTTTTGGACCCAAAAGATTGGGCCGGGTCCAAAACCTAGACTCGAATATTATTCGGGTCCGGGTTCAGCCGGACCCGACCCGAGTAATATGAGTGTATGTGGCTATTCATAAATGATCCCAATAATATGGATATATGATAGTAAAAATAGTAAGGAATGTGGATATATTTGGGTATTCATAAACGTTGTGCAATGCTCATAGTCAATGGGATGGCAATGGACCTGACCAGACCCAGTACCCGATGGGTAGACCCGACCTTGGGTCTGGGTATGGGTCCAAATTTTAGACCTGAAAAGTTAGGGTGGGTCCAATTCCTGGACCCATAAACTATCATGTCTGGGTCCAGTCAGACCGACCTGTTGCCACCCCTAATTTCCAATTGTTAATCATCTTTAGTATGAAGGGAAAGTATATCATAGTCCATTCGCCTTATGTATATAAGCTAGATCCATTGTTTATTCCGACCACCAGAGAGCATTGGAGATTTACTATGCTCAGTTGAATAACCTGGTGGACCTCACCGTTGTTAATCTGTAATCATCTGTGATTCAGAAGGGATGGTGGATGTAGCCTAGTGATCCATAGACCATAGGCCATTGGATCATATATACCTTCCCTTGGATGAATTCTTGAACCATGAATTCTGGAATACTAAAACTTTAATTTTCTTTTGTTCTTCCTCGTTTATATCAGCATGTTTCTAGAGTTTTTGTCATTTCTTCAAAAATTTTCAAATGTCGGGATCTCTCCTGCTGAGTAATGAGGAGAGAAAAATCACAGAAGAGGAAAACATGAATGGTGAAAAGATCAAGTAGAAAAGTCTTCTTTTCAGTGGTTAGCTGCAGATTTGAACCTGGGATTTGGTAGGAAAAAAATAAAAAATGTGGGTTTCAACCGTATAATGACGTATTTTTCTAAAAAAATTGCAGGTCTCGACCATGCCTGACAAGGCCCTCCAAGCCTTCTTGGACCATGGAGTAGTTTCTCGCACTATTGATTCAAATGTGGAGCAGGCGAAGGCTGTGTACAGTGCCCTTGAAAAGTTGGGGATCGATTGGAGTGAGGTTGGGTCTCAGCTCGAAGATGATGGCGTAAGTTCTTTCATGAAGAGCTTCGATAGCCTACTTCTCACTCTACAAGACAAGGCCGACAAGCTCAAACTGGTCAGCATCTAGGCCGGCTCCATCTAGTCCAGCGTAGTGTGTGTTTGTTTGTCCTCTTTCTTATATGTTGTAGTGTAAATATAGTGATTATATTTGATAATTTCTGTTCGTGGTTTGGAGGCTCTTTAGAACAGCTTTTGGTGTTAGGGAGAGGGGACTGAAGCTTTTAATTATAATTATAATGATTGTGGCTCCTCTCTCTCTCTCTCTTCTCCCCATCTCATATTAACAAGCTTTGGACGGATGCTGTGGGATTCAGCCAAAAATATATTTATGATAAAATTTAGAGGCCCGCCTTGATTGATTAAGGGATGTATTTAAGCATGGGAGGGCTTGCTACGGGACCACACCCATGTATAAGTATATGTGACAGTTGGTCTCAGTCATCATATATGAGTAGATGGTGATTGCTAGAATCACAATGTCACAAGCTAGCATTTAACCGTTGGATCTTGTTCAGACCGTTTATAGTGTTTTATTTTTTATTTGTATCGTACAAATAATTTTGAATCAAAAGCATGAATAGATCTAGCAAGGGTGCTCATGATAAAAAAGTATTTACCGTATTGAAAAATTAACAGAATACCTTTGAAAAATTGTAAGGGCATTTGCATTTTGGTCATTTATTTTTACATAAAATATTTATTTTTTATTTTTTTCAAGTTTGCTCTAATGTTTTTGATGGGACACTCAAAATTTTATCGAAAAATATTTCGTAGAAAAATAATTAAAAATAAAATAGTGCTTGATGTGTTATTATGGTATGAACAATCGTAGACGTCTGATTCAGATCGAATAGCTAGGAAGTGGGGTTGCATATAACTTTTATGTGCATGCTCACAATTCATTCACAAGCATATAACTTATATGTTCTTGCCCTTTATACATGCTCACAATTCACAAGCAATCAATGAGGTTGGAAGAGATTAGGGCAAACATGAATAGCCAAAGAAAGCTGGCGGACAAAAAGAAAGAGTAAAATAAATTCAACTATTTGATGACTTGTCCAATTAAGAGTTGCGTGTTGATTATTATTATTTTTTAATATCACAACCTTTTTGCCTTTGCTTTTTCAAGTTTAAAGTTGGGTGTGGTTCCTACAAGGTTGCAATCTTAAACGATCCAATTAAGGCGCACCTCGAAATTTATCAACGATCCAATTAAGGCGCACCACTAAATTTATCATAATATGTAGTTTTGTTGGAAAACATTCTTAAGATTATCTAAAAATTTATTTTTGTATCTAATTATAAAATCTTAAGCTGCAAAAATGGTTAAAATCAGGTAGGTATATAAACATATGAAAATCTTGAAAATGGGTAGTTTCGATAATGTGTTGCGAGATGCACTATTTTTGGGACTCAAAAACTTATTATTATTATTATTGAGAATTGTTTCATGTGGGCTGGACCGTATTTTTACATATGCAGTCCTGAAAGTGTAAAGCATCCATCTTAGAGATGGATGCAAGTAGGTGTTTCATCCAAAAACAATGAAATCTAATTGTCCAAATGTTTTCTTACTAGAATTATTATTTCTAGTTTTTAAAATTTATTTATTTTTTCATATTCAGGATCTCCATATTAGAGATTACATGTTTTAAAAAAATTAAGTCTTAAAATCTATCTCAAAGATAGATTTATTAAGAGGCTCACATTTCTACATATGTGGGATTGACCACATAGAAACAAGGTGTTTTTTAATTAATTTAATTTAATTTATTTTATATTCATACTTCCTCAATGTTGGGATAACCAGTTAGAGAGTTTTTCAACATTAAACCAACCTTTTCTGATATATTTTTGAGGTACATCTTTGATTCTACATTTTAAGGTTGCAACCTTATATAAACTTTTTCCTTTAAAAATTTGGTATAGACAAAAGACGGTTTGAGATCTATTGTCTTAAAATGGGTATAATCCTCGGGTAAAATTAGCGTGGTCCTAAGGGTAAGTTCGAGTAACTTTGTATTCTAAAGGACTAGGTTTCTACAGTGGTCAATTTTGATTTCACTCTGATTTCTGATAAGTGCTTCAATGAGTTTAGTGTCATATAGTTTCATCTTAGGAAAAGTTTCTACCGTGGCTCTAAACAATCAAATTAGAAGAGATTGTTTTGATGCTCAAATATCCTATAATTGATCATCTTGACCTCAAAATGCATGGGCATGAGGAAAAAATAGATTTAAAGCTCTGGAAATAATGTATCTTGTAATGTATTTTTGGATCGTCAATATTCAAGATTTTCACGTTTTCATAGATTTGCTCTATCTACACTATTTTTGAAGCTTTGAATTTTATAATTGGAGATGAAAATATATTTTAAAACTATCAAAAAGATTTTCCGTGTAGAAACCACATTTCTCGACACTATTTGAAGGTGCTCTTCACTTGATTGTTTGGAGTATCGATTCTATACAAGGGAAAGGTTTTTATGCTTCCCCTACGGCATAGACGTTCTCCCCTTATCATCCAGCCATCCAATTTTGATCAAGAGAGCCACTTACTGTTTGATCTTAGATCTGATGTCTCAAAATATTTTATTTTTATTTATTTTTATACAAATTGTATGAATATGAAATTAGGTACGTGTTATCTTCTCATTGGGGTGCACCTATAAAAAATATTAAAAATAATTTTTCAATAAAATATAATGATCAAACTACCCCTTGAAAATTTTAAAGGTATTTTGGTTATTTTATTTTATTGAAAAAATATATATATTTTTTATATTTTTCGCTAATGCCAGTTTAATAGAAGAATGAACATCCAAAATTTGGTGTCAAAATATTTTATAGAAAAAAATTAAAAATAAAATAATGTAGAGACGTGACATTATGATTGGAACAATATTAGCCCTCCATTCAGAATGAACGGTTGGATCAGGGGAGGATAGAACTTCTATGCTGTAGGGGAGACATAGAAAGCTTACCCGCTATACAAACCGTACCCAAAAAAGTAATGCTTTGAAAAGTTTTAAAAGCTGAGATTTTGTGAAATACATGGGGATTTTTGAATTTGAAAAATGTAACAAACTTTGTTTATTTGTTTCCTTAAAAATATAACATTTAATAATGTTATTGGTTTTTCTATAAATTTCTCTTAATGTTTAATATTATTATTTCGCAACTTTGACCAGAATTTTTTTACAAGGAAGGGAAACGAATCTCTGTTTTTTTCTATATTCATATATTACAATAGTATCCCTTTTATCAAAGTTTTATCTGTAGTTCTCTATTGCTATCATATAACTTCTTTTTCTTTTTTTAATTATTTATTTATGAAAAACACTACAAAACGTCTATAGATGAAGTTCTACAGTACATTATTTACGGCTTTATCACCGTTCAAAGCTTATCACACTGTCACAGATGTCTGATAATGTTTGAATTTTAATATATTTTTTACAAATCATAATAATCTGAAATTTATTTACCGAACAACTGTGAATATGTGAAGAACTTTGGAAGGTGATGAGGTGTAGGTAAAGTACGATAAAACTTCACCTCTAGGCGTTTTGTAGATGCTTTCTTTATTTATTTATTTTACCTCTAAAGAACAACCTAGTCTGATATGATGAAGTCATCAATATCAACTCGCCCCATAAGTACGGTGCAATTTGATGAGAAATTTTTTTAAAGTATGCAGTTCCTACAAGGCTTCAACCTTATAAGAAAATAAAAAATAAAAAATAAAAATAAAGCCTCATCTCTGAAAAACACTTATGGCAAGGGAAATATCTATGATGATGGCTCTAAAATCAATTTCATCACAGATTATGAATTTTTTAGCTCAAAAAAGGGTACAGATGTTGTGGATCCGTGAATATTTGAAAATAAAAGGTCTAGATAATATGTTGCAATATATACTATTTTTAGAGCTTGGAATTTTATTTTTTTTCACAACCGTAATGGTCAGGGTCGAGATAATCTATTTGAAGGTCGAGATAATCTACAAAACGTCTATAGGCGAAAATGAACAGTGATTCGCCTACCCTCATCACCACCCAAACTTTATCATACTATCACAATTGTTTGGTAGGATTTTATTTTTCATTTTTGTTTCTGCTACAAATTAGAATGATTTGAAATTTAGAGCGTGTGTTCATCAAAAATAGGCGAATCTAATAAAAATATAAAAAAAATATTTCGTAAAATATAAATTGACCAAAATACTCTGAAAATTTATGAGGGTATTTTGATCAATTTATATTTTATGAAATATTATTTTCATATTTTTATTAGGTGCGCCTCACTAAGATGTATACACGCTCAGATTAATTCGATTTATAGAAAAAAAAATGAAAAATAAAACACTATCAGACAAATCGTGATCATGGGAAGAACTTTGGACGATGAT